AAATTTTATTTTACTTTATAAGAATATTAATGCTCCGTGTTTATTGTTTCCTGTGTGGCTGATATAAATCTAAGTACTTTAGATGCATCACCCAATGTATTCCTTTCAATATTTCAAGGGTACTCTTGTCCCTATTTTATTAATGAGAAACTGAGGCAGAAAAAGCCTCAGGACATTTTTCCAGGTGCCATAGCTAGTAATTATTAGAAGCAGGAATCAAGCATAGATCATCAATCTCCAGATCTTGCACTCTTACTACTAAGCCTAATGTCTTTTCTTAGAAATGAATGTTGCTTCATTTTTTATTGACATTGAATAGAACAATTTAAAAATATTATATTTGGTAATAAGATTTAAAAAATACATCTTCACCTCAATTCATAGCATTCCTCATCTGGGAAAAAACTTCAACCCTTTCTTGTGCTAATTTTTTTCTTCTTTCTCTCTCTTTCTCTCAAAGACACCTAAAGCACATACCAAGTTGTGCAATCCAGAAGATAACATCTCCTTTTCCCATCTGTCTCTCCCTTCCCTGTGTCTATAACTCATTGCCAATGACTGAGAAATCCATTCTGCTTCTTAGTATCTTTTAAAGCTATTCTCCTCTCCCTATATCCCCCAGCCCATCATGGACAAAGACAGAGAATGCTGGCATGGCATCCTGCCTGCTTATCAGTGTCTTTGACTATTGAGGTCTCTTACATTTTCTTTATGGTTGTTGTTAACTACCGCTGAGTTGGTTCTGACCCATAGCGAACTTGTATAGGGTTTCTGAGGAGCAGCTGGTAAGTTTGAACCACCAGCTTTGTATTTCAAACTGACCTTGCAGTCAAGTGCCTATCCTGCAGTGCCACACCAGGACTCCTGAAGAGTTAATATCATAATTTGAATGGTCCAAGTTGACATAGTGGCTGCTCATTTTTCAATGTCAGTGACTTTGGTAAAGGAACCCAACTTAACTGCTTGATAGGGATTAATGTGGGAAGTACACATTTTCTCTGTAATGTTTACCACATTCAAGCGCTTTGCTAGGAACATAAGAGTGTTTGTTTTTTAACCTTCTGAGGCTGCATCAAGGGCAGTGAAAACTGGACTATAAGATGGATTCAATTTATAACTGCTATTTAATATTTGTCTGACTTTGGACAAGTTGTCCAATGAAAACCTCAGATTAGTTTTCTGAACTCTTAAATGGAGATAATATATGATCTGCTAGATATAGTTCTTGAAAGGATTAACAAGTAAAAATGTCTGGTACCTCCCACAGTGCCTCCAACATAGCTTGTACTCAGCAGGTACATTTTTAGTTTTTTACCTCCGTTTCCACTCTTTTCTCTCTTTTTTCCTTCTATTTGGTTCCCAGGGCCCTCCTTGCTGCATTATCATTCTGCTTGCTCAGGAGAAACTCAGGAAACAAACGAAAAAGTTAAGTATTGTCTGACCCCATCCTTATTGCCGTTAATTTGTTGTTGCTCTTGGGTGCCATGAAGTAGTTTCATAGCAACCCTACATCCAACCAAACAAAACACTGCTTAGTCCCATGCCATCCTCACAATTATAGTTACATTTAAGCCCATTGCTGCTGCCACTGTGTCATCCATCTCATTGGGGGTCTACCTCTTTTTCCCTGGACCCTCCACTTTACCACGCATGATATCCTTCTCTAGATTCTGGTCTCTTCTAATAACATGTCCAAAGTATGAGGAAGGAAGTCTTACCTTCTGGTTTCTAAGGAACATTCTGGGTTCGCTTCTTCCAAGAAAGTTTTGTTTATTTTCCTGGCAGTCCTTGGTACTTTTAATATTTATCTACAGCAGCATAACTCAAATGCATTGATTCTTCTCAAGCTTTCCTTATTCATCATCCAACTTTCACATGCATATGAAGCAATTGAAAATACCTTGGCTTGGATCAGGCCTACCTTAGTCATAAAACTGACATTTTTACTCTCTAACACTTTAAAGAGGTCTTGTGAAACAGATTTGCCTAATGAATATGTGTTTTGACTTCTTGACTGCTGTTTCCATGAGTGTTGATTGTGGATCCAAGCAATATGAAGTCCTTGAACATTTCAGTCTTTTCTCTGTTTATCATGATATTATTGATCAGGTTGTGAGCATTTTCATTTTATTTACATTGAAGTATAATGCATACTGAAGGCTACGGTCTTTGATCTTCATTAGTAAATATTTTAAGTCCTCTTCACTTCCAGCAAGCAAAATTGTATCATCTGCATATTGCACAGGTTATTAATGAGTTTTCCTCCAATGCTGATGCCACATTCTTCTTCATATAAGCCAGAGTTTCGGATTAATTGCTCAGCAAAGAGATTGACTAAGTATCATGAAAGGATACAATTCTGGCACACACCATTCTTGATTTTAAACCATTCAATATCCCCTTATTCTATTCAAATGACTGCCTCTTGGTCTATGTACAGGTTCCTCAGAAACATAATTAAGCATACTGGAATACCCATTCTTTGCAATATTATCCATAATTTATTATGATCCACACAGTCGAAAGTCTTTGCATAATCAATAAAGCACAAGTAAATAACTTTCTGCTATTCTCTGCTTTCAGCTAAGATCCATCTGACTTCAACAATGATATCTGTATTCCATGTACTCTTCCGAATCTGGCTTGAATTTCTGGCAGCTCCCTGTCAATGTACTACTGCAATTGTTTTTGAATTATCTTATGCAAAAATTTACTTACATGTGATGTTAATGGTATTTCCATTCTGTTGGGTCATTTTTGTTTGGAATGAGTACAAATATGAATCTCTTTCCATTGGTTAGCCAGGTAAGCTATCTTCCAGATTTCCTGGCATAGATGAAATCTGGATCAGTTTGCTGAAGATACCACTTTGTATCCATCAATTCCTGCAGCCTTGTTTGTCGTCAATGTCTTCAGTGAAGCGTGGATCCTTCCTTCTGTTCCATTGTGCCTTGATCATATACTACGTTTTAAAATGGTTGAACATTGTCCATTTCTTTTTGGTACAATAACTATATATACCTTCTAGCTACTGTACTATATTATTCTATAATGTAAATTTCAGCATTATTTCTATCACCAGGCTATATTTTCCCACTATTGATCCTTCCTCCTGGTTGGCAACTTTCAAGTTCTTCTTCTGCTTTCTGAATCAATCAGTGTTTTATCTCTGGAATCTGTCAAAAATGCAAGCAAAGTTTTGAATTTTTTTTTTTTTTTTCTTCAGTTGTTTCAGCTTGAGAAATGCTGAGTGTGTTCTTCCCTTTTGATTTTCTAACTCCCGGTCTTTGCACATTTCATTATGATACTTGATTTTGTCTTTATGAGCCACCCCTCTTTTATTTATTCCACTCGCTTTAGCTTCTGTATGCTCAAGAGCAAATTTCAGTGTCCTTTCCATTTTGGTCTTTTCTCTCTTGTCTTTTTCATGAACTTTTGCTTTCTTCATGTATGATGTTCTTGGTCTCTTCAAGTCTTTGGTCAATAGTGTCTAATGCATCAAATCTGTTTTTGAGATGATCTCTAAATTCAGGTGGGATATATTAAAGGTCATATTTTGGCTCTAATGGACTTGTTTTAATTTTCTTCAATGTCAGACTTAACTTGCATATAAACAATTGATGGTCTGTCCCACAATCAGCCCCTATGTTTTTGTTTTTTTGTTTTGTTTTGTTTTGTTTTTACTGATAATATTGAGTTTCTCCACCGTCTCTTCCCACAGATATAATCAGCTTGATTCTTGCATATTGCATCTAGTGAGGCCCATGTGCATAGTTTCCTTTTATGTTGTTTTAAAAAGGTTTCTGCAAAAAAGTCGTTTGTCTAAAAAAATTCTATCATGCAGTGTCCAGCATTATTTCTATCACCGAGGCCATATTTTCCAGTTACTGATACTTCTCCTTGGTTTACAATTTTTGAATTCCAATCACTAATAATTATCAATGCATCTTGGTTACATGGTTGATCAAATTAATATTTAATTTCATAGTCACTGACTTTAGCGATTGGTGTGTAAATTTGAATAATGTTGTATTAACTGGTCTTTCTTGTAGATATATGGATATTATCCTATCACAGACAGAATGGTACTTCAAAACAGACCCTGAAGTATTCTTTTTGACAATGAATGAGACACCATTCCTGTTCAATTTGATGTTCTTGGCATTGTATACCATATAATTGTCTGATTCAGAATGGTCAATATCAGTCCATTTTCACTCACTAATCCCTAGGATGGAGTCCTGGTGTGGCACTGTGGGTTAATGCTTAAGCCAGATTGCAAAGCCGTTTGAACTGCAAGGTCGGCAGCTCAAGCTCACCAGCCTCTCCTTGGAAACCCTATACAGGGTCGCTATGGGTTGGAACCTACTCAACTGCACTTAACAACAACAACAACAATCCCTAGGATATCAATCTTTATGTATTTCATTTCATTTTTGATAGCTTCCAATTTTCCTAGATTCATACATTATACATACGATATTCTGATTATTAATGGATGTTTCAGCTGCTTCTCCTCATTTTGAATTTGTGTTCAATCAGAAAATAAAGGTCCCAAAAGCGTTGCTCCATTCTCATCATTATGGTCAACTCTACTTTGAGGAGGCAACTTTTCCCCAGTCCTATTTTGAGTACCTTCCAGCCTGAGGAGCTCATTTTCTAGCACTATATCTGACAGTGTTCTGCTATTCATCAGGTTTTCATGTCCTGGCACTAAATCTGACATTATTCTCCTACTACTCACAAAGTTTTCAGTGGCCAGCTATTCAGATGTGGTCGGCCTCTCCTCCTTCCTACTCTTAGTTGGGAAGTTCAGCTGAATCTTGCCCACCATAAATGACCTTGATAGGATTTGAAAACGTATTGGTGGCATAGCTTCCAACATAACAGCAACACACAACCTCCCACAATAGGACCAACTGACACATGAGTGGTTGGCTATTAATTTAGTAGGTGTTGTTGAAGTGCAGTCTTTAAACTAATATGTTTGCCTTTTACAGTATCTCCAGAAAGGACTCAGAATCCACTGGCATATAAAACTCTACTTTGTACTCGCCGGTACTTATTCCCCAGGTCTCCTCCTGTATGTACAACTTCTTACGAAGAAGACAGCTACTCAACTACATCCGGTGAAAGCAGTGAGGCCCCATTGATCTCAGCTGTCAATCAAGAAATGAAGAAGACTGTCAGGAGAGCTCCCAAGCAGGCCTGGAACAGTCCATTTTTGGAAAGTCAAATGACCAAAAAACCAACTCGACCACACTCAGCAGATCCTGTGCACCTGGAGGCTACAGGCAAGCACATTGATATACAAGCCAGACTTCCAAACCGGTCCTCCAGCATCTCAGATAAATACCCTATCCTATATGGTAGGTGTCATATTGTGCTTCCTAACTCTTCTTTTCTCATTTTAATTGGTCACATTTTGTTTTTTGACATTGATATTTATAGAAAAATTACTGATTGAATGTCAGGTCCTATTATGGAAGGTGCAGTAAGAACTCTATTAGTCAGTCTTTACTGAAAGTCCTGTATTAGATGAGAGAGCAGGTGTGAGTTGATAACAAGTAATCTGATGATTTAGGTATCAGAGTTATTTTATAATAATGCATTTATTATGTAATTATGAACATATAACACTCATAATGTAATTATGAACATATAATTCATAACTATTTCAGTCCTCACTTATTGAGTTCTCAACCTGTGCTAAACATCTGCATTACTTTATGAAATTCTCTGGTATGATAGGGCTTCAGAGAGTTTGTGAAAAACTGAAATTAAAAGATAATGGATTTTTCAACAAACTTTTTGAAGTCCACTCATATACTTAAAATCAAATCACCTCCATTTGACAGAAAAGGAAGTTTTGAATTCATAGCACAGGATAATTTATTTATATGGTGATGAAGTATCTTAAAATCACATCTGATAATAGAAGAAATGATTAGAAGTAAGGGAATGCAGAGAGAGTAGACTGGAAGGAGTGAGCTTTGGAACCAGGGAGGCACTCAATAAATAATCACAATGCATAAGTGAATGAATGAGCACATGTAATCTCACTGGCAACCCTATGCAGTAGGTAATACAATACCCATGTTTTAGGTTCAAGTAAAGACAAAAAGGCTTAGGCCAGGTGAGGTACCAGGATTTGCATCTGATAACCTGACCCCAAATCCTTGTTGATTACTGAATTGCATTCATTGAAGGAATTCCTATCCTTTAGCTCAAGATAGTAGTAAGTGTATTTGAAGCAAATTCTGTTGATCCAAATTCAGTGCGCTATCCATATTCTCTGGTAGACTCATTGTGTATTGATGAATATTGATTACAGTGGAGGGGTCCTTTGTCCAGGTGGGCGATCCAAATCAACAAATGGCATTTAATGCATACACTTCTTAAACAAGACACTTGCCTCACTAAAAGCTTTTATTTACCTGGAGATATTTATATACCACTTTACTGAATTTCCTGGAAATAATTCTAATACTAGAGAAATCAGATCCATGAAAAATGTTGCCCAGTTTGACTTAAGGATGTTAAACTTGTAGTGTGAGACTCCTAGTACTGATCTGGCAGAAAACGTTGTGAGATGAACCTAATCAATGACTTAAAGATAGGCTATTTTGTAGCTGCCATTAAGGTACTGTGCATTTGAACTCTTACATAATCTTTTGAATTTGAATTTTTTAATGATTCTATGGATTGTTTAAAATATTTTAGATATTTCATGCCATTGAAAGACCTTTAGAAACTTACAGAAAGCAATTTAAAATGTATACATTGTCTTAATTCACTACTAAAGAATTAGACTTTAATTTCTGTAGGTTGTGGTGATGGTGGTGTACTGTAGAGCTGGTTCCAACTTAGAGCTACCCTGTATAGGGTTTGTGAGGCCGTAACTCTTTACTGGAGCAGAAAGCCTCACTTTTCTCCCTCAGAATGGCTAGTAGATTCAAACTATTGACTTTGTGGTTAGCAGCTCAACTCATAACCCACTGCCAGGGCTCCTAATTTGTGTAGGACAATGGGCAGAATTCATCAAGTAAAAATGTAAAGAGGTACTATTTTGTTGTTGTGTCATTGAGTTGATTTCGACTCAATCAACCCTACAGGACAGAGTGGTGGTGGTGGTGGTGGTGGTATGCTGTGGCGTCGATTCCGACTCATAGCAACCCTGCAAAGAGTTTCCGAGGCTGTAAATCTTTATGGGAGCAGAAAGCCTCATCTTTCTCCTGAGGTACCATTGGGAGTTTTGAACTGCTGACTGTGAGATTAGCAGCCCAAGTTGTAACCACTATGCTACCAGAATAGACCTGCCCAATAGCATTTCTTAGACTGAAATCTTTGTGGGAAAAGATTACCAAGTCTTCTGTGGAGCCCTTGGTGGGTTAGAACCCCTGACCTTATGCAGAGCAGTGAGGTGCTTTAACTATTAAATCACCCAGTAGTCTATCTACAAAGGGGCTTCAAAAATTTTGTGAAAAAATTCCATTATCTTTTCATGCCGTTTAGCCATAAACTTTCTGAAGCACCCTAACAGACGTAGTCGTTAGTTACCATCCAGTTGATTCCATCTCCAGGTATCAAACTTCTCCATAGGATATTCAGAAGCAGATCGCCAAGTCTGTTTTTCCAGAAACCTCTGGATGTGTTTGCACTACCGCTTAATTGTTTGTGTCATATTTCATTTTCCAATCTTGGATTGTGTTACGGTTAAAAACAACAACAACAACAACAACAAAAAGAAAAACGCCCACAAAACCAACACCTAGTCTTTGCATTAAAAATGAATTGGTTTTGCTCTGAAACAGATCATATTAAAAGGTTCAGGATAGAGTAGAAGGAAAATATGGTACAAAACTCAGTCATAAAGAAGACCCAGCTGACTGATCAAATAGAGGCTTGTAGACTATGGCCCTTAGTCCTCCTTCAGGCTTGGAACTGACTTCATGCTCCTGACTCCATTTTCAACCAAACAATAGACAAGTCTATAAGGTGAACAATAAAACTAGGGAGGTATGCATTCTTTAGAATAAAGAGAGATCAAAAGGGCAGCATTTGCCCAAGGACAAAATTCAGAAGTGTAAGGATAGAAGAAAGGAAGAAGAAACACAAGGAGACAGTGGACTAAGTGATGTTACACTGTGAGGGGTGCAATCATTGGCAGGAAACAAAATGTGTATGAAATGTTGAATGGGAAACTGATTCCATCTGTAAATCTTCACCCAATTTACAATGAAAAAATTAATGAGTTGTTTTTTTTTAAAGAAAGAAAATGATTCAAGCCTATCATTATTATCATTGTGAGTATGTGACATAGATCAAACTTTAGGTTAATTTCTTGATTTAATTTTCAGCTGGTTTCCAATTTCTAATAAAATCCACAAAGTAATTCTTTCTTGAATTTGTAAATCATCTATTATTAGTCTAAAAAGACTGTAGATCTGCTTGTTTGTGTTACTATCCACAGTCCTTTTGAATGTAGAAAATTAGGGCTCATTTTAGTAACTATCAGCCACTCCACGGGAGAAAGATGAGGCTTTCTACTCCCGTAAAGATTTACACCCTCGGAAACCCTGTACAGGGTCACTATGGGTCAGAACTGACTCGACGGCACTTAACAACAACAACAACAACATTTCCCTCTCCAGAAGTTTTTTGTTTCTCTTTTTGATGTTTTATTGTAAATTATGTGATAGCTTACATGGGAGAACATTAGTTTTACATTCATCCTATCGTATATCATTTCATTACCATGGTTATAATCTCCTCCATGCATCATCACCCAACCAAAGGGTATACACTACAAGCCTGTCCCCAGATCATCAGCACAGAGCCACTCTCCCTCTCTGTGTCTAAAGTCCCCAGCTGCTTCATCTCTCCATGTCTCTGCCTCCATCTCAGGCATCACTTTTTCTGGGTAGGGTCCCGCTCTCCGTTCTTCTCCCTTGATGGTCCCAGAGACCTCGGCTCCTAGACTGAAAAGTTAATCACTCCCCTCCTTGCTACAAAACGTCTACTTTTACATTTCCAACCCTCACAATCAGTCCTTCTCCAGAAGTTTTGAACTGTTTCCCTACAATAACAGTCTAATGAGAGTTTGGTGAAATGTATTTATGGGATGAGGGACTTGGGACTAGTAGTGGTGGTGGTGGTTGTGTGCTTCTGAGTCAGTTCTAGGAAGGAATTTGTTGTTGTTAAGGGCTGTCAAGTCAATTCTGAGTCATAGCAACCTTGTACAAGCTATCCAAGAAGCATCTTGGTGAGTTTGAACCACTGACCTTGTGGTTCACAGTTCAGTGCTTGTCCTAAAGTGTCACACTAGGAATAGATAGCATTTTTGTCTTTTTAAAGAATTGTGGGTAAGTGCATGAGGTGATTTTGGTCTTTCAGCAGATTACAAATTGTTCAGTTCCTAGACATCCAGTAGACACAGGGATGTGTTTATTTTTAAGTCCCAGCTGACAAATTCCAGGCTCTTCATTCTCATTCATTCCTATCCCCCCTCTTTTTTTCCAGGTCCCTCGGGGAGACCTTTTACTGCCATAGGCCTCTGCAGAGGAAGCCAGACGCCCTCACCCCGGAATAGAGCCTCTCGCAGTTTCTCAGAACACGATCTAGAACACAGGATGGTTACCAAACAAGATACTCTGAAAAACCCAGATTTCTCAAATGGGCATCTAGGCACGCCCGGAAATCCCACCAGAAGATGCACAGTTACCATGACTCCGGAGATGCTCCCCAAGCATCCTCATTTTCCTGGGGAAAAGGGGCCCAGGACAGACACCTCCCTTCAGGGCAATCTGGCAGGAGCGCCCATTCCTCGGCTTGCCCCCGCTTCCACACATCTCTCCTCAGAGAGGTTAATAAAAGTTTGCCCTTCTCCCCACTCCCGCCCACCACGGCGTTTCCATAAGGCTTGTTCACAGGCCCCTCCTTGGCCAGGGGTGAATGCTCACTTGCATTGACCGCTGCGAGGGAATTGTTCTGAGAGCGCTGCCCATCCTGAAATCAATGCCTGCCCAGAACAACAGAAAGGGCCTCAGATGTACTGGTTTCCACAGAACCATTGTGAGGCCTTTGTGAAGCATTTTTGAACCTAATAAATAATGTCAAAAGTCTCTATCGCAGCCAAAAATGTTCCTTTTGAAGGATTTCTAATAGTATTTTTGTTCCGCGGTGTATCCCAGTGTTTTAAAGAATTTGTGCTTCACAATAGGGATGGGGTACATCGCGTGCCACTTCCAAATGTGCCGACTGGAGATGGGAGGAACATTCTTTGTTTTGCTATCGCAGGTAAACGGTTTCACTTGCCAACTTGGGCTTTGGTTTAAGGATGTTTTCTAAGGGTCTTTAGAATTTCTAAACAGAGGTTTGGAAAATATAATTGAATGTTAGTAATTTAATCGTGAACATGAAATTGGATGACTCTCATGTACTTAAGGGAATTCTTCAGGCTATATTAAGGTTTTCATGTCAGAAACCTGAACCTAGATCCTAACCTGGGGCCCTGGGACACTTGGAACTAAGTTTACTATCAAAGAGATCATGAATTTTCTGATTTATAATAGAAAATACTGGAGCAATTTAGGGAACATCTTGTTAAACTGGTCATTTTTGGCAATATCCGTGATTTTGGTTAAGTTACATGGTAGCTTTTCATGATGATGCAATGTAACAGCCAACTGAGTCAAATGACTTTATAGAATTAGTTTTTGTTTGTTTGTTTGTTTAAATGTAGTTTATTCTTATTTTCTAATATTCAGAGAAAAAACACAAATCGGTATGTATTCAAGTTCATTGCAGTTTTCCTACTGACATGGATTTACAGTTTGAAATATTTTTGTTGTTGTTGTTAAGTATCATAGGACGGTTCCACTCATACAGACTCTGCATAAGGTTTCTAAGGAATGAGCTGGTAAATTAGAACTACTAACCTTGCAGTTAGCAACCCAGTGTTGAACCTATAGCACCACACCAGGACTCTGTTTGATATATGGAGATATCAATAATTTCACTCCATGTTGTTATTAAGTGCTATTGAGTTGGTTCTGACTCATTATAGGGTTTCCGAGGAGCAGCTAGTAGTTTTGAACCACTGACCTTGAGGTTAGCAGCCTCCATTTCACTCCATAGGAATGAAATATTATATGTAATAACTACTTCCCATTTAAGAGTCTCTTTAGTCCTTTGAGGACTGTTTGATCTCTGTAAGTGTTAGCGTACTCTAAGCCCTGGTGTGGTGCTGAGGGATAAGTGCTGGCTCACAAGGTCATTTTGAGTCACAACATCAGCAGTTGAAATGCACCAGCTGCTACTCGGAAACCATATACAGGGTGGCTATGAGTTAGAACCGACTCGACGGCACTTCACAGCAAAAACAGTAATCCCTGGTAGCATCGTGGATTACACTTTGGGTTGTCAACCACATGTTCAGCAGTTTGAATCTACCAGCAAGAGTAAAAAGATGAAGCTTTCTGCTCCTTTAAAGATTTATAGCCTCAGGAAACCCTATATGGAAGTCACTGTGAGTTGAAACTGAATCAACAGCACACAGCAACAAGAGTATCACAGTTAAAAATGAGTATGGCTAAACTTTCCAAGTTAATATAATTTTATCATAAATATGTGTTTATTGTATTTATGAATAATACTATATTACAAGAGAATGTGGTTTAATGGTGGTTGCTATGGTTTCCTTTGCTCATTCAGGTTCATATGAATGATGTGGAATCAAGTTCCTCTTCATTCTTTTGGTTAGAGAGAAGTAGTGTGTTGGCAAGCTCATGGGTTTAACGTATAAATTTGGTCAGGAGGTATTTTAGATAGCAACTTACAAGCTAGCATAATTTTCTTAATTTTTTTTTTAGGTCAAGGAAATCACTGTTTTAAATGAGTCCAAAATAATTAACCAAAAATTATTAACTAGTATACAGCTTCTGAGGAACATCTGGTCAATTACAGGAATGAAAAATGTATTTAAATCGTAGATGGAGTCCATCAGATGTCAAAGTGCAAAATGGTGAATTCTGAAAAATGTCATGTGAAAAAAACAGTTTTTACAGAACTGAAAAAAAGGGATGCAAGTAAAGATGCAAAATATGTGGTGTGCAATACTCAAAAGCAATATATCCTAAAATGTGTTTCATGGAACATTGTTGTTGTTGTTAGGTGCCATCAAGTCAGTACCGACTCATAGCGACTTTAGGCATAGCAGAACGAAATACTACCCGATCGTGGGTCAGCCTCACTATTGTTGCCACACTTGAGCCCACTGATGCTGCCACTTTGCCAATCCATCTCGCTGGGGTTCTTCCCCTTTTTCTCTGACCTTACCAAACATGATATCCTTCTCCAGTGACTGGTCCCTCCTGATAATATGTCCAAAGTATGAGAGACGAAGTTTGGCCATCCTGGCATCCAAGGTGCTGGAAAAAGCTCTTTGAGATTGGAATCTATAGATTCAAATGTCAGAGAGATATAGCTCACCATGCACCCTTGTTGTTGTCAAGTGCTGTCGCTATGATTCCATAGCGACCCTGTATAGGGTTTCCAAGGAGCAGCTGGTGAGCTTGAACTGCCGACCTTGCAGTTTAAATGGCTTTGCAGTCTGGTGCATTAACCCACAGAGCCACACCAGGACTCCATATTAAGGACCCTGAAAAATCCCATGGTACATGTATCTGATAGATTCAGTCTAATCCAATGTTTTCCAATTTATTTGACAAATAAATCCCAATTTATTTGACATGTAGTGGTTACGAATTGGGCTGCAAACTGCAAGGTCAACAGTTCGAAACTACCAGCTGTTC